CCCAAACCCTAATGTACATGTAGAATAATCCCAAAGAAAATGCAATGTTCCAACAGCGAAACAGTAACACTTGAGACCAAAAGAATCCATGGATCCGAATAATAATAACAGAGAGAAAGGGAGGGAGGGGAAGAGCACTACCATCTCTTTTAAAAGCGTGTTGCCATCCTTGGTGAGTTTAATATCACCAGCTCCACCAACAAGCCTAGCAACGATCATAAAATTAATTTTAGAACTCCAAAAAGAGGTGAAATATAAGTCGAGTAATTAAAAAAAACAAAACAAAAACAAACGCTTTTACATTTTAATAGTGCCCTTGGGTCCGAGGTTCGTTTTGAGGACATCCTGCAAACCTTTGGCGGCATTGATGTTCATGTGAAGGGCCGCTGACTTGTTCAGCACCTCCGCATTCGGATTCAGCACCCTCAACGACATTGTATTGCAGTTTTTCCGATCTCTGCAGTTACAGAACAAGATCAAATAACAGTCTTTCACACTAAATAATAACGCATAAAGTACGATTGCAGAGAGAAAGAGAGTCCTGCTACCGCGAGTTACAAGAGTTGATCGAGATGCGAATAGGGTTTGGAAGTGAGTGCCTTTGTGCTCGCGGAAGTGAGCGAGAAATGAGAAGAGGGTTTTAGGGCTTTCTGGAAGGTTTTGTTTTTACTTTTTCTTGTTGAAGTGAAAAAAATGAATGAAACATCATCTCGTCGTTTTTATAAGTTCCAATTTTCATTTCAATAAAAATTGTAGTTAAAAGTTGATAAAAATTGCGAGTTCATGATACTCTGTTTGGTATGAATTATAATTTAAATTAAAGTCAACTTTAGATTTTGTCACATATTTCATGGAACTCACTTTTTCAATCACACATATATTATCAACTATTATCAAAATTCATAAAAAATCTAATTTTAATCTTTACCAAACAATGGCTAAATATGCAGTTGAAATCGAGTCTAACGAAACATAATTTAAGAAGTGGGGCCAAACATAGGCTTACCGAAGTTGATAAATATTTTATTCCAATTGCCTACTATTCAGAATTATTTTGGCATTCTTCAATAGAGATTTGACATTATTTTAATCACACATTCTTCAATAAAATAATATTACTCACAAATTTAAATTTTTTTTATTCTTTAACTACACATTTTTCATTGATTTGATATGAATAATGTACTTTTTTTTTTTTTTTTTTTTTTTTTTTTTTTGCTGTGGCTCAAACATGGGCTTGGTAGGTTTTAGAAAAGTGACTAAACAAGAATATGTACCATGAAAGCAGATTTTGAAAAATAGCAAAATAGTACTTTCTCATGTCCTATGCTGCTTTTTAGTTTCAAGGTAATTATATTTGAACCCTGCTCCCAGTCCCGGATTGGGGATAGGGTTAGGGACAGGGGGGTTGGCCAAGCTGTCCCGAGTTGGGGATAGGGTCAGGGACAGGGGCGCCTGCCCTTGGCCGGCCCCCCTCCAATAGAGGGGCGCCATATGGCGTCCCTGTCTTCCTCCCTGTCCCCAACCCCGAAAAGGGAGAATTTTTCATTATATTTACATCATAGTTTTTTTTTTCCTTTACACCACGTTTTATTTGTACTTAAAGTTTTCAATTTTTATTCATTATAACACTTATATCTATAAAAAATTTCGTAGGATTTTTATCCTCAATTTTTCATTAGTTAACATATTCTGTATCTAATAACAATTTATATTCAAAACATCCGTTGAAGGGCATAAAAACACTTTACATTTTATTTTAAAAAAATAACTAAATACAAAAGTGCGATAAAAAGTATTTTTTCTTAATTCCAAATATGGAAACAAAAATTTTGATATAAATCATCAATAAGAACGAGATGTGCTAATTTGAAAAATAAGAATACAATAGAAAAAAATTGGGGATATGGACAATACAACGAACAAAGATTGAGGAAAATGAGTGGAATAAGAATATGGTCCAGTCAACAAAAACTGTGGTGCCGATACAATCACCATTAATTTCTTCAATTATTTTAATTAAAATATCAATTTTAACCCTAATTAATTAAATTAATTCTTCTTCTTCTATACAAATTATGCTTTTAGATATTAATTTTTTCCATTTTGACATTTTAATGGAGGTTGAATTTTTTGGATTTAGCCCATATGGATTAAATCAAGATATTAATCTAAATTAAAGTTGACAATTAATTTTAATTACATATTTTATGAAATTCACAACTTTTTCAATCGTACATTTCATCAACTTTTATCAAAATCTACACTACCATAAAAGAGAGAATGGAGGTTTACTGTTCATTTTTGTCACACTCGTTTTCACATTTAACCGATTTGGGAATTGATTTGACAACAGGAAAAATTCTATTCAAAAATAACGTAGGATTTTTTTTCTAATTCTCACGCTATTAACTATCAACTATATTTTATATGTTTAAAATTTTAAAATTATATTAATAAACAAAATTATTGTAAATAAAATGTTAAAAAAACATATTTACTCTGTACATGGAAAAAAAAAATTTACGTTATATCACATAATTTTTCTTGAGCAAAATGATATGTTAAGAAAATTGTTGCGAAAAAATAATAAATAGTAATAAAATAATTGATTTTTTTTAAGAAAAACAACTTATACGTATTTTTTAACGTATACGTTTAATGTCCGTTTAACTATTTTCGATATTTATTTAAATCATTTGATGTGTTTATGATATAGTTCTTGAAATGAGTTTCGAGAGAATGTAAAACATTTAACGATTCGACTATCGTACAATCGTCATGAATTTTTAAAATTAGCTTATTATCGAAAATTTCGAAATTTAGTTTGAAAATACTTATTTTGACATCCCATAATATTTGTTACGATTAGTCGTTTCACGCACCGTTAACGACGTGTAATACTATGCCGCGAGTACTTGAAAATGATATTAAGAATGTTATATTTCGACTTCGTTTGATATCTTGTAATGAGCCTGAAAATGAACACAAACACATAAGTTGTTATGAATTTTTTTTTTTACTTTTATTTGTCGTACATTTTTTTATTAATATTTAATTTGATCTAAATATTTACTTAAAAATGTTGAAGTTAATATTTTTTTACCTATAAGTAACATTTACAATTATAATTTTTTATTACTTTTAAATAACCTGAAGTGATTTTTTTACTTATAAGTAACTTTTTACATTTTAGATAGTTTAATCTTTTATTAATATTTAATTTTAAAAACTAAATATATCTAAATATTTATACTTAAAAAATTTTAAGTTCACATTTTTTTTTATATAAGTAGCTTTTGCAATTATAAAAGAATGAGGTATTAATATATTTTTTTTTACTTATAAGTAGATTTTACAATCTAATTATTGTCAAATGAGAGGTTAGAGCGTAACTTTTATACTCTTGTAAAAGCTATTGACCTGTTGCTAGATACTAATTTGCCACTAATTTTTGTCTTTTTTTTTATATTTTGTTTTGAATTCCAGACAAATGTGAATGTAATTTAACATGTTGTACTATTAGTTCTCATTTAAACTTATATGTTAACTTGTTTTAAATGAAAAGGGATCTCATGCTGATCAGTTTTGGCACCGATTGATTACGTCAATTGAATTCGATCAACTAAATCAACCTTTTCCCGAACTGGAATTCGGTCCATTAGCCCCACGGCCTAATTCCTTTCCTCTATAAATATGTAAGTTCATTGCACATTTAAGGAATGCTTTTAATAGCTTAAACCTAGCCAAATTCCCTGCCTATTTTCTCTCTCACACACTATTTTTTCTCCTAAACTAACTTTATCATCAAAGTGTAAATGGTTGTTTGATCTTTTTCTTTGTTGGCTATCTTTGGAAGTGTGCAGACGACGTTTAGTCAGATAGGGAGGTTGTTGGGACTTTGTTGGCTGAATTTTGAGGTCAATATTACTAACTCTATATTTCAACACTTCCTTGATCTACAATAAATAAGTCACCAAATAGCATCCAATATTTAACATAATGTCATCAAATATTTAGCATAGTATAAACACTAAATTACATATCCAAAAAACAAATAAAAAATTAGGAATCAACAATAAGGAAACATAATATCATACAAATGTCAAAAAACAAATCAACATTTTTTTCGACGTCCCCCCATTCCATCATGCTATTGGGTAATGGCAAATAAATCGTAAAAAAGAAAAAAAAAAAGAAAAAAAAAGACTTATAAAAAAAATGAATTAGATTCTAGATCCAGGTATCCAAGGTTTCGATTCCTTATTTTATTTTATTTTTTTGAAATTGGGCTAGATTTGTTGATTTTGATTAGGAAGATTTGGATCGATTTCAATTAAAATGAACACACCTATTATTTATAAATCAAACCGTTTATAAATTTTTACAAAACATAATTATAGATCATTTAGCATTGAAGGCTTCAACATTATCCTAGAATTAGGATGTGCATGTGCATTGAATGGGACTTGAACATCATTATCATTTAACAAGAACACGCTCCCTAGAATATTTGATAAGCTGAGAAGTGCCCAAAAATTTGCAAACTAAGCAAAACTAATAAAAATTTTATAGTCCACCGTTCAACCACTCTAGTCTTCTTTGTTCATATGGTCACTAAATTCAATATAATCGAAAATCTTATTAGCTTTCTTCAGTGAACATTTTAAATATAAGAAGGCATTACAATCTTTTTGAATGACCAAAGGTATCAAAAGCGTTTTTTACGTGACATGTATTATTTCGACTAAACAAAATTATTTGCAAAAAGATTTCGTTTGGTTAAATTGTAAAAAAAAAAAATGCTATAAGCACAGAAATTTTGACATCATGGTTGATAGTTCTCTTACATACAAGAGGTGGGGCCCACGAATATTACAGTGTTGTACATATACAGCACTGTACACAAAAGTTGGGGAGCTGTGTGACAAAATAGAGATGGGCCGTCGATGAACAAGATTCTTAACCCGTAAATAGGCACCTGTGTCATATATGGACCTATTTGTCAAGGTTCAAGTCTATCAAATGTGGGCACTGGGCAGTCCAGTGCGAAAATTGCGAAAAGCTTTTCTCCTCCACCCTGCTAGATCACGGTGAAACAAACCAATCAACAAACACTGTCATTGCCCGCGAACACCTTTCCATTGTTAATTTTTCATCCCGCACACGGATCACAGGCCAACTTGCTTGAATATGGCGAAGAATTACGTGAGAGATAACGTGTCTTTATCCAGATTCGGCGTGCTGGTGGCGCAGCTGGAATCTATAGTGGCTTCAGCAGCCCACAAGCCACCAGACCCACTTCTCTGCTTCGACCTTTTATCCGATCTCGTCTCCGCTATTGATGAGGAGCCCAAGGTTACTGTCCCTTTCTTTATGATATTTGCACATTATGCTTCGCATTTGTCGAATTCTAGGCAATATGCTTAGCGATTCAGTTTCAAGGTGTAAGTTTTGATGAAATCTGGATAATTGGGTTCAAGCATTTTGATTCTGATTGTCATTCGTATTCTTTTACATTTACTCACTTTGAAGCGATTATTAGTGTTTCAAAATCGAGATTTTGGTTTGATGAATTCTTGGCAGCTGCCGGGGTGCTTTGATTTGTAAAGTAGAGCTGAAATTCATTGAGGAATTGATGTTATTTTATTTTAATCAAATGTTAAAAAATCATATATGATGAAATCTGAAATCTTGGCAATTACGTTGAGCTTTGACTACTAGAGGAAAGAAAACAAAATAAACTACTCATTTGTTTTGAAAAATATCGTTATCTATTTCATGTGAAATTTTGATGAATCTTGGCTGTTGGCAGTGCTTTAATTAGTAAAAGAAGAAGATAACAACATTCTGGCAATTGGTTTTTTGAAAGATTACTCAGTTGACGAGTTTCCATATGATTTCTGTTTCTTAAATTATATTAAATTATCTAGAAGTTCCGTTTGAAATTGCTCTCTACAGTTTTTGCTTTCGTGTGAGTGAGGTAGGCTAATTATCTAGAAGTTCCATTTTAAATTGCTCTCTGCATTTTTTGCTTTTTTATGGGTTCAAAGTGAGGTTTTCTATTGATGGCCTTGCGATATTTCTAGGAATCTATATTGCTGTGGCAAAGGAAATGCGAGGACACACTTTATTCTCTACTGGTGCTGGGTGCTCGAAGGCCAGTACGGCATTTGGCATCAGTGGCGATGGCGAAGATTATACTAAAGGGGGATGCCATTTCGATATACTCCAGAGCTAGCACCCTTCAAGGATTTCTATCTGATGGCAAGAAGAGCGAGCCTCAGAGAGTTGCTGGTTCATGCTTATTCTCTTTCTCATATACTTGGATTTTTATTATTTTCCCAAGTTGTAAAAACATGCCAATTCTAGACTGTTTTCAGTTCAACTGAATTTTATCTAAATGTTTTTGCAATATCATGATTTTTATTAATATGGATTGTGGTGCCTCCAAAAATTTTTATTTCCTTGGACCTTTGGTGAAAAAGGATTCACATAATGAACTCTAGATTTATTGAGGATAAGAATAAGCTTCTTTTTGAAGGAATAGAGCTAAAACGATTGTTGTAGGCAACCGCGTGTTAAGATACCCTCCTCCATCTTGGCGATTCAGCATGGAGAGGGAGAGCTTTTGGAGAGAAATTATAGTGGTGAAATATGGTGTTATTGGTGGATGGTGCTTGGTTTTGGTTAGTGGTTCTCATGGGATGAGTTTATGGAGGTATATTTGACGAGGGTGGAGAGACTTTAGGGATAGATTGACGTTTGTGGTGGGAAATGGTAATACCATCAAATTTTGGGATGATTGTTGGTGTGGAAATAGGCCGCTAAGAGTGGGGTAATCCCTGTATCGTATTGCTTTGATGCCATTTGCTATGGTGAATGAAGTCTTAGATATGCATAATGGGGGCCTCAGTTGGAATATTGTTTTTGAGAGGGATCTGCAGGACTGGGAGTTGGATGATTATGCATTACTTTTGACATCTTTGTATGAGGTGCACATCAAGGTAGGAGATGGTGATTGTAGTAGGTGGAGGTTGACACGGGATGATATTTTCTCAATTGACACTTATTTTAGATCCTTATTGGGACTTGTGGGGTGTTCATTTCCCTGAAAGATGGTGTGGCAATGTAAATTGTCCCATTAGGTGGCATTTTACTATGGATGGTTGTGAAGGAACACATGTTAATGGTGGATACCCTCTGAATAAGGGGTTTTTATGTTATAGAGTAGTGTTATATCTATAGGGGGTATGGGAAGACGATTGACCACTTGTTCCTTCATTGTGACGGTGCTCATTCCCTATGGAATGATGCTCTGACTTTTCAACACATGAATTGGGTGTTCTTGCGGCGTACGGAAGATGTGTTGGAAGCACAGAGGAGAAAATTTCGTAATAAGGATATAAAACTTGTTTGAGACCTTATTTCAGGATACATCGTCTGGTGTGTGTGAAGGGAGAGATAGCTGCTATTTTGATGATCACAAATGGACAACAGAGTAGATTAAAAAATTGTTTTATTTAACATTATATACTTGGTTTATGCTGTAGCTACTATTTATATAGACGGGTTGCCCAATTTTGTGTTGTTTCTTTCTTGTACTAATTGATAATACACTTCCTGTGCATTATCTGTGATTAATAAAATATTTTATTACCCATAAAAAAAAAAAAAAAAAGGACCTTGAGGATGGATTTTGTAGAACTTTTGTGGTTGAGAGGCACGAAAAGATCACTAAGTAACCGAAGCCAAAATTGTGGTTTGGAATGCAGGAGCATGAGGTGATAATGTTTCTAGAATAATAAGAGAGAATTGCTAAATTCTTCTCCTGTGTGTGAATCTTGATATTTTGTAACAATAATCTAGGGTTTATCCCACACCCCTCTCATGATCATCTTGGATGGTATAGATTTATTATTATTACTTTTTTTGGAGCACACAGTTGATTCAAAGACAATTCAAGTGGACGCACCAGGATTCTTAAGGGTGAAAAGACACAAGATGGGAGTTCGAAATTAGAAGTTGGCTGATTAAGCATTTGCTATTTTTGTACTAATGCATCAATTTATCTCTGATTGCACATCAGGCTCTTATACTAGTTTTTCTTGACATTTCTTGGTTTTGTAGTCGGTAATCTCAGCCTTTTCCTTCCTTTATTGAGGACATCTGCCTTAAACAGAGAAGAAAAAGAATTGCATTTCTTGTCCATGTGTTTTAATTCCTAGATGAACAAAATGTAAATACGTTTGAATCAAATTTCAATTATTTATTTATTTATTATTATTTTTTTTTTTGTAGGTGCTGCACAATGCTTGGGAGAATTGTATCGCTATTTTGGGAGACGGATTACGTCTGGATTACTTGAAACAACTAGCATTGTTGCAAAGCTGCTAAAATTTAATGAGGTAATCATATTCTTACTTCCTGTTGATTACTGCTTCATTTGACATGATGCCCTTTTGTTTCCTATGGCAAACTTCACAAGTTCTCGTGTAAAATATTATTGATGACATTTAAGAATGGTGTCTAAAAAAATAAACAAGAATGTGAATGAGGTAGAGAAGATCCAAAAGTGGTATAAGCGCTCTCAAACTTGTTGGTTGTACTCAGGTTCTGTGAATTGTGAGGAATATGTTTTCTTTCTCTGGGTTTGTAAAAATTATGAGTTATGGGTTAAGTGATTTGATGTGATGAAGTGATATTATTTAGGCCCCAAGTTGCACAGTGACCATGATTCCTGAGGTAATGGTCCTTCATATTGTAGAATATCTGTGTGCATATATAATAAACACTTGTCATATCTAGAATCTTGTGAACTTTTTCATTTGGATTCAAATGTGTAACTGATCCCAGATTAACTGAATAGACTCCTTATTAATCCACGAGATGTACGAAGTTAAATGACTAATGCATGATACCCATGGAGTGTTTCTGTTGTCTTTACTAATCCTAGGACTCTTGAATCTAAACTTAACTGGATATTTAGTTAATTTCTTACAAGTTACTATACGAGACTTCTTTCCTTCTTAGGAAGCAAAAGGATATATTTGCCATCGGCGAGTTCGTAGAATATTGATACTTTGAAGAATTAATATGAGCTGTCTCAAAAGGGTTGGGGGGGAGGGTGCAGGTGGATGGAAATTTATAATGATCCATATTGGATCCTTTGTTTCCTAAAGCATGACCAAGAACAATCTAGTGTTTTTAGAATAACAGAGTCCAAATTTCAGGAGTGTACGAGGTACTCAGAAACTCAACCAAACATAGTATTTCTAAATGGAACATCAAGGCACACTTTGAATCTCCAAATAGGGGTTGTACGAGATGCAAGGAGTCTCCCATTTCTTCTCCATAGGCCACATAGTGCAATTGAGCACTAACTTCAATGCTTGCCTCAGAGAAACTAAGGCTTCGAGATATCTTTCTTTCCTTCGTACTTGCATCACATATTCTACCTGCAAGTATTAATCTGCCACTGTCCGATGGCTAGTGATGTGTTCCATTCAAGAGTTTTATAAGATGTAGATGACACATCAGTATGATTTTTATCATCAAGGAATTGTGTTGCAGATGTTTTCATTTCCTAATGATTCTGAACACAGTGTTTTTGAATTATGGTATGTTTACATATTAATCATCATTGCTTCAGGATTTTGTGAGAGAAGAAGCTTTGCACATGCTTCGCAATGCTTTAGAAGGTTCTGGTGGGAATGCTGCTTCTTCTGCTTATATGGAGGCATTCCGTGTCATTACGAGGATAGGAGTTGGTGATAAATATTTTACTGTTAGAATAGCTGCTGCAAGATGTCTGAAGGCCTTTGCAGATGTTGGAGGACCGGGGTTAGGGAATGGGGAACTCGAGAATTGTTTGGCTTATTGTGTCAAGGTTCTTACTTTTGTCTCATTCTTCACTTATGCTTCATTTCCTTATCCTCAATAATTTTCGTTGCTTAGAAATTAAATATTGCGGTTTAAATTCTGTTTATTATAGGCCCTTGAGGATCCAGTGAAATCTGTGAGGGATGCTTTTGCTGAGACATTGGGAGTGTTGCTTGCTCTTGGAATGAATCCTATTGATTTTGTGTTTTTTTTTTTTTTTTTTTTTTTTTTTTTTGTGTTCTCTTATACTCTGCGACTTATTTATGATGCAAATTTATTTTTCATCACAAAAGTGGGAGTGCCAAATGCTTTAACTTTTCTTGTTCCATTTTTAATTTTACTTTCTTCATTTAATTGATGACATCTTGGTGAACTTTTGCACTTCCCCCCACTATCGATTAACTTCCCATCTGATAGATGATTTCTGTCCGTCCCTTTCTAACCAAGACAAATATCCAAAAGAATCGATTCAACTCTCATAGCATTATAGTGAAATTTTTTGTGAAATCCTGCAGTTTCCCCTTGTTTTGTCTCTAACTGCATTATTTTACATTGTTAAGATTTTTTCCTCACTATAAGCTTCGTTTTGTATCAGTATATGGATTACCTTGGTATTGTTGTTGTACAAGTTTTCTCTTCTTTTAAGCTTGAGATTCATCTTTGTCAAGGGCAGATTGGTTGTATAGATTAACTTTGTATGATTCCCACTTTAACGTTGCACAAGATTGCTAATTTTGATATCAGGTTATATTATTACTTTTTTTCTATCCCTTTACTATTAGTTACCCTCCTGATAAATGGTAAAACTTGCAGCTAGTGGGCTTCGCTCGAAGGACCTGCGGATTGGCGTTACCTTATCATGGGTTTGCTTTTTACAGGTGGGTAACAAGTTTAAACATAATTCATAGCTTTCTGGCCCCACCACAAAATAGAAAGAAAAAGGAATCGGCTTCTTGGTAAGAGCCTTTGGGATATGAATATGAAAACATGCGATAACCTGCACACCCAATTTGTTTGGAGCATTGTTTAGTATGGTTAATTGTGGTTTTTGGTTTTTCTTGAACTCGTCCCTTTTATTGGTTCCTTGTTCTTCAGTGATTTCCTCCTTTCTTTAACAGTTGGGACACCAAAAATAAAAAGAATATCTTGGCATTATTGGCGTAACAATAAGATCACTAGGTTGTTCTTCAGTGATTTCCTCCTTTCTTTAACAATTGGGACATCAGAAATAAAAAGAATGTGTGCACAAGAAATTGGTCATTGGGATGACTTCTTCCCTTTTTTGATGTAAATATCTTGGTGAACAATAAGATCACTTGGTTGGGTTCGAACATGAAAGCTTATCTGTGCCTGCCATTTTTATGTTTCTAAACCTCTCTATGTAATGAATATCCATTTAAAGTTCCGAAGAGTGGGATGGTACCCATTTATGCTTCTTTTAGAACTGAATACTGCATTTCTGTGTAATATTCAATCCCTCATGTTGAAAATTTGTTAAATTTACTGGGTCCAGTAAGCATCTATGTTAATTTCCTTTGATTCTATGGTATTTTCATCTTTACAAATTTATCTGCAGACTATGTGTTTGAAATATCTTCGCCCAGATGGTGAGCTTCAAGACTGTGCTCTCCAGGTCATGGACATGCTTCGTTCGGATACATCTGTTGATGCTCAAGCACTGGTATCCTGTGATACATTATTTGGCTTTACAACAATGATATCTCTTCTTGTAGATACTATCTTTACATTTATGTGTGATATATTCTTCGTATCATGGCCATATTTCTAAAACGTATTTGTTGTATTATACTTGCTATTTCATGATTGGAAGACAGAATAATAAATTGGAGCTAATAAGCAAAGCACGCGTAAACAAGAAATTTGTCTCAATGGTCTGAGGGCACCTGGGTTGTAACCTACATTACTGCTTCATTAGGCATCTTGTTTATCAACTTAGATATAATGTGACAAATGAAATAAATCTGTACTTCTCAAAAATTAGAAAAGAAATGCATATCTAGCAAGAAGATGCCATTATGTAATGTAGAAACATTTACAATCTACTTATAGAAAGATAACTTTGAAATGATTAGTAAAAATCTTTAAAATTCAGAATATAATTACAGTCGAATGATGAAAAATTGGACATATTTTGGAAATATGCTGGCGCTAGATTGAAACATTAATGTGCATGGAATTCAGTCATATTTATTTGTGATAATTTTATCTTTAGTTGTCTGCAAAGTAGTGTTTTCGGTTGGTTTAATGACCCCATTTTTCTGCGCTATAATTGCATGTATTTTTTAACATAAAAGAATTCTAATGGTCCGTCCAAGTAAAAGAACTTGATATTGGAAATTCAATAGAAAGTGATAATTTCTTTGAAAAAATGGTTTATTTGTTTAATTTTTTGGGTAAAGGGGATTATTGATGAAAATGGAGGTGGATGATAAATCATGAGAACCTGTTTCTTTTCCCCACTTTGAATTGATTGACCAGGTCGCTACATTCACTATCAATAAGCATTGAGATAGTGAATTTAAAGGATTCTCTAACCTGTCTTTAGCCAATAGAGAATGTGCTAGCTGGATGTCATCAATGCACATCCTTGAAATTATAGCTTTCTTCAATACTGAAAACACTACTTGCTATGTCAACAGGGCAATAACTCACTAATGCTACGAAAATTTCAATTATTTCACCTCGAGCAAAGTGCCTTTGATGCAAGTATAGTGCAATTAAATAAATAAAAAAATAAGGAAAAGAATAAGGAAAGGGAACCAAAAAAGAATGCCAATAGAATCCAGAGAACCATGGACAGTCTGCATTCATTTGGGAGAAAAATCTTCAATGCAAGAACCATCTGGTGGGTTTTAGTTCTTTGGCCAAAGACATCCCAAGCAACAGGACACATGGTCGTATGTAGTTAGCTCACATGTTATGAATCACTAGTGTCTTTTTCTTGAGAACCAGACAATGCTAGTATCTTTGGGAAAGTTTCATAGACTGGGGGCAGAAATTGGATGTATCTCTTATACCAGTAAAGGAAAAAAAAGAAAAAGAAAAAGGGAAACGAAAAAAGACAGAATATTTTTCAATTGATGTCCTAACCATATATTAATTTTCCTCTACATCCTGGTACCCAGACAGAACTAGATTTAGATGACCACAATATAATACATTATGGTTGTCATAAAGGAGAACCATATTCTAAAAGGCTTATGCACTGCACAGAACTCAGAAAAAAATATTTAGATATACATGCTTTATCTTTTCCAAAACCTTTCTTGTCCATATCTGGAGCTGATTAATAGCCCTTTAAATTCATGGTTACATTGAAATAGCATTCATGATGACATCAGCCAAAGTATATTTGCTTTTCGTTGATAGAAATTGTACATATATGAAGAATTATATGAACCATGCTATATATTTTTAACAATTGGTTATATAAATATCTAACGAATGAAATCATCATAAGGTTCACTGCCTACTCTTTCTGATCAAATGACTCAGATATTTTGATGATTGGTGTGTCTGCTAAGGCCTTTCTTCCCCCATAGTTCTTTATTTATTCTTATATTTTTTTCCTGAGCAGCAAAATATCATCCCAATACTGTGCATTTTTAAAAGTATTTGGAACATGATACAAAATTTGCTAGTTCCCTAAATTATGCCTGAATTCTTTTCATTTCACCATGATCCTATCACAGGGGTATTGTAAATCTTCAACAAATGACTATTTTTCTTTTCTCCTATCACTCGACTCCCTCCCCGCCTGCACCATCCCTTATATCAATCCTATTTTCTGGTATTAGTGTGTTTGGGAGTATTTTTTAATTTTTTTAATTTTTTTTATTTTTTCTTATTTTTAAAGCTCTAGTTCAAAAGCAAAAACACTTCTTAAAATAATAGTTGTTTGGCTGCAATTAAGAAGTTATTGCTGACAGAAAAAAAAAAAAAAAAA